AAAAAAAAAAAAGTATACATATTTGGACTGTTGTAAACCTGAAATTATAAACACTTCTCACTGATGAGTTTCAGAACTCCATCAGGCATTAAGTTGATAAGCATATCACAAATGAAAGCATAAAGTTTGACTTTCCAACTTGGGATACAAAGTAGATTTCTAATCCTTCCTAAAGTTGCATTTAGTTCTAAAAACTACTTCTTCATTTGTTCATGAAGCATTATGTATGTAAAACTGTATTTGTAATAATGTGACTTTTTAACATATGTGACAATAAATCATGTATTTCTTTCTCCAAATATAAAGAAATTATCAAAGAATGGTATTGGAAAGACTTAAAGTTCAAGCATTTATACCACATTTCAGTTTTCTTAAAAGAAATCCTCATCTCTCATCTGCAAATTTTAAAATTGTGACATTTTGAGTCTAAAGGCGCAAGCAAATTCAAAGTATCAAATAAATATACTGCTGTGACATGTTATTCAAATAAGTTACTCAAAATGGTCTTATTAGAATCATCAGCATCATGAATAAGTATAAGCATCCTTCTTCCTCATAGCCAGACTTATACTTGCTGCCCAATGTCTCACACGGTATATAAAAAAGGCATAAATTTACTCAAGAGCTAGAATTTGAGGGTATTAATAAGTATCTGTATTTCCTTTAGCAATAAGCCAAAACCAGACCGCATACTTTTGACCACCAACTACTCTCTGTAAATGCAGCAATGTACATTACCACCAGAAAATAATTTCTTTTATTTGAATGGCAATGCATTGCCTTCCTTTTCACACAAGTGTGTTTGATCAGCTCTTCCAATGTATCTTTTCCTACACCCTGAGTTTTCGGCAATAAGATAGAAAACTGTCAAGCATTGCTACCTGATGGACGTTATATATGTACACAAAAACTAATTCACATTTTGCACATAATTGGCTTTATCCAACTACAAGTTGAAATATCTGTCAATGTACACATGACAGTAATTGTTCTTCCAGACTGCATACTATTTATATTATAAAACATATAAACAAACAACAGCAAAAAAGACAGTAATTAAAGTAGTAAAAACAGATTTTTATTCTGGAAAATACTGCAACTGGGAAAAAAAGATCTCAGTACAGAATGGGGCTCAATTCCCAATACAGCAAGGACAAGTAGGGATTTGCAGCCATGAGCAGAGTGGGAATCAATGGAAGGAAAATCACTAAGAAGAAAAATTAGAGGCAGGGGGAGATTCTGATTGAACAGACTTAGGCTTCTTGCTAAAGGCAGGCTAGGGTGATCAGACATCACTTGGAAGGGGTATGGAAGGGGATATGGAATTTGATCAATATTGAGGGTGGAGTATTCTCTCTAAACTGATTTAGCAGAATGCTAACTAAAACTGGAATATGTAGGTCTTGCAAAGACATGGAAACTATTTTTAGGCAGACATATTCAACATGAAACAAAGCTCATCATCATCTCAAGTTATTTCCCAGTTAATTATTTTTACAGTACATGAATGTTAGGAAAGCAGCACAAAAGCAAAAACCTAAAAAAGTTAAATAAATGGATTTTTCTTTTACTGCTATGTTTCAAATACAAGGTGTCATGAATATCCGGCATTAATTTTTCCTGCATTTTTACTTACACATTTGGTCTTGGGTTGAATTTAAAATTTTTATAATCTTAAACATCCAGATATAATACAACGTTATTTGTTGTACCCAAGTACAACAAAATGTATGCTCTTATCATATTACTAATAACTCAGAAGATAGTTATTTTTATTAAGCCAACAATATTAAGCGAATATTATTTACCAAAAATTTACTCAAGTCATATAAAGTTGAAAAGCAAAGTATTTGGATTAGTTTCTGTTTCTGAGAGTTTTAGGAATATTTTTATAAGCTCTCATTTACCTTTCAGCCAATTTTAATAGAGTTCCTTTATGGGATTTTATGGATTAATGTGGTAATACAATCCAAAAGTAGAAAAATATCACATATACATAATATACATACAAATATATACATACATAAAAACAGATACAAAGATCTTGTGGCTTTCATTCTAAAATTTTAGCCATAAGTCAGGTAAACACAGTAATACACTCTGATCTATGCTCCCTTTGATATTTTTATCTAAATTTTGTTTCTGGCAGAAGGAAAAAATCAAGATAACCTGTTCAATATGAGGGGTAATGCTTTTTAACCAACATTTGTGGAGGAGACTTTCAAGAATTTTCATTTTCCCTGATATATAATCATATAGAGGGGCGCATGGGTGGCTCAGTCGGTTAAGCGTCCGACTTCGGCTCAGGTCATGATTTCAGTTTGTGAGTTAGAGCCCCGTGTCGGGCGCTATGCTGACAGCTCAGAGCCTGGAGCCTTTTTCAGATTCTGTGTCTCCCTATCTCTCTGACCCTCCCCCCGTTCATGCTCTGTCTCTCTCTGTCTCAAAAATAAATAAACGTTAAAAAATTATAATCGTATAGAGGCTATAGATGGAAATTTTATTTTTTTTTAATATATGAAATTTATTGTCAAATTGGTTTCCATACAACACCCTGTGCTCATCCCAAAAGATGCCCTCTTCAATACCCTATAGATGGAAATTTTAGTTGACAAACTGACTGAGGAGACATCAAGCAGCTGTCTGGATGTCTCCAAAGTTTATCTGAGTATATAAAGCATCTGGTCTGTTTCCAATTATCTTTTCTTCCTTTTCTGCCATGAGTAGTTGCTTTCAGGAGTCCCTGAGTCCCTTGAGAGCCCCTGATG